AAAAGTAAAATTTAAATTAAATATTTATTTAAAAGAGAAAGCGGTAAAGGCAATGGTTGAAATGATTATTACAAAATTTATTATTGAGTTGATTATCATGTTAGTCAATTGGAGCATATGCCAAGATGTTATAAGAAAAATATAGTTGAAATTAATTAAAATGCAGAATTGGTAGATAGCAAACAAAAGTTAAAATGCCAGAGTTTGATTAAATAGTTAAAAAATAAGGTAGAATAAGAGTTAATAAAAGATATTAAAATCGAAAGACAATTTGTAGATTAATTAAAAGTATATGTCAGAAAAATGTCAAATTTAAAGTGGGATCCACAAGGAATTCAGTAGTCACTAGAAAGGTCAAATAATATTATAAAATAAGAAATATTTTGAAGTATAAGGCAAAATTGATTGTAAAGAAAGTAGAATAGGGTGTATAAGTGCAAAGGAGAAAGTGAAGTGAAGTGAATTACAAGAGGAAAATGGCACGTTTAAAGATATGTGGAAAGGCCTTTAGAAGGGAAAGAAAAATCAAGATAGTAAAAAAAGAAAATAGATTATTATTGATTAGTTACAGAAATAATTTTGAAAAAACGACAGTTGTTGAAGAAAGAAAAGAAAACCTAGAGAAATATAAGCAGTTAAGAAGCGAGAAAGTGTAAAAAGCTTCAAGTTGGAGAAATCGAGAATTTAAAAATACCAATTGGAAAAATAAGCTATCCAAGAAATACGAGACAAGCGGAGCACCAACAAACAAGGTCCAGGAAGACAGAAAGAACGCGGAATAGCAGTAGCAGGTTCCAGAGGCCAGTAGGAAAAGCAGGAAAACGGAAGATCAGTAGCAGGATCCAGGAGAGCAGTAAGAAAACCGCATATCAATAGCAGAGGAAAGGATCAATAAAACAAAGTAAAGGAGAGAAATCAATCGACACATCATTATCGATTATACGTATAAAAAAGGTACCTTTTATAATAAAAACAAAAGTCGTATACGAAATTTGATACAGATTTTCAAAAGTAAAAAGTTAATATAAAAAAGTTTAGCAAGTAACTAATTCTATATTAAACAAATTTATTTAATCATATCATACATACTCAAAATTGGCCAATCTTTGTAGAAGTAAATATTAATATTAGAGAAAAGGAACCAGTGTTAAACAAGAAGTTATAAGATAAAACGTCAGTGTCTTAATGTATGCAACCAGTCCTACATGAAATTCAATTTAACGGTCGTATCGATATGACCTCTTGTGTAAGGCTTTGTAAATAGTGTGAAATACTTCAAAATATTGACTATTGTGTTTAAGAGTTTATATTGACAAATTTTGACATATAGATAAAAAAAAAACAATAATAAATTCATTTATTAATAACCCTTTTGTCTTTATAGCTGTGATTGTGTGTGGTTTCTTGCTAAAGCACATAGGGAATAGAACCAACTACTGAGAGAGAGTCTAGAGCTAGGTAGGGCGAAGATATACAACCACCAATACACCAACTACAGTACACAATACACCAATACAACCAAATTGATATCACAACAATCAAATTTTATTTTGGCGCTAACATATAATATCGTACACACACATAATCATAACAATATTGGCGCCCAACGTGGGGCTAGAAGAAAAGGCAAGAAGAAAAAGTAAAGACTAGAATAAAACTAAAGAAATGGATCTTAGAAGTGGAAAACAAACTGGAGAAGAATCAAGTGAGTCTTTATCAGAGCAAGAAACAACAAAGGAACCAGTGTTAAACAAGAAGTTATAAGATAAA